AATTTGCATCTTCAGACATTTCCTTGCAATAAAACTGTGTTTTTAATATTTTACTTTTATTACATCAGTGCAATCCCACAGTGCAGAGAAGGAGCCAGGCTCCACTCTGACCCGAGCATCATGTTTAACCGGCCTGAACTTGCGTAGTGCTGATTATGAGAAATTCAAGACAGAATCCAGATCCACGGTTCTTTTATTCAGGGGACCCCTGAACCCCCGTCTTCCACGCAGAGCCTGCGTGCCCCTGTCACCATGGCAAAACTGAACTCGGCACAGCAGACACAAATACTGGCAGTCATGAAAAAGTTGCCAGGGAAGATGAAGGTGAATGGGGGAGTGATGCCCACCTTTTCATACTCCAGTAAAATAATAGGAGCTTAAAACATTAAGTTAAAAAGAATCAAATTTAAAGAGGTCTCCATCTTTCAACTGGGCAAGTATTTACATTTCTTTCTATTAAGGAAATGACTAAAATAATTGCCCAGGGTCTAATATCTTGTATTTATCATGGTTTTACTGTTCAAGCAAGCTAGAGGGATTCCTATTAGAAAGCTGAATTTGTCCCCTATATTTAGCCTGCATCAGTTGTCAGGATCTATGAACAGATACATTAGTCACATTAAATTAAAACAAAGCGACTGTGCTCCCACATGCACAAAAAGTATCTGAATGACACTACAGAAAACTCTCATCTTCTATTTAACATCAAGAAACAATAGCATGGCAGAGCAGGCTCACGCACCTGGCATTAAGAAGCACATTGATCCTAACCTACGAGGACTCCTGATCACAGGCTCGGTATGCTCAGCCTCCAGCCTTGCTGCTGGCAGCAACTCAGAGGAGCAGCGTGGTCCACCTGGTGGAACCGCTTCTTGTGCCTTCACTGGTTCACCGCGTGATCTGGAAGCAAGCTGAAACTTCTGTGCTTCGGTAAGTTTCCATCTTTTCTATTTAAATTATGAGTTTGGGGGCCAGAGTTATTTCTAGTCATAAAACACACCCCATTCACTAGCACTAGGGAAACCTGCTCTTGGAAAGATCCTTTTATACCGATGTGCAATAAACAACTTTACAATCCAACACCAGGATAAGGATAATGGCACCTTTCCCCTTTGTCTAGTTCCTAACTATGCCTTGCTTAAGCCAAAAACTAGACCAGGAAAAGCATTATCAACACATGCTGTACCCCACAGGAAGAGAAGCAGTACACATTACAGAAAATTTGCTCTCAGCAGAAATGAATAAAGAAAAAAGAAGGTGGTATCATTCGTATGAGACAACTTACCACTCGTTTTTCCCGAAAATCTATCCCTACTGTCGTGATGAATTTTGGATTAAATTTGTTATCGGTGTATCTGTACAGGAACGTTGTTTTTCCAACCCCAGAGTCTCCAAGGGCCAGCAGTTTGATCAGATAATCATAGTCTCCATCAGTCATAGTGCTAATTTTTAGGAACCTATGTAAAGAGGAGAAAAAAATTGATTTAATGATAACAAAACCCCCTCTCTGTTTGTTTTTCCCTCATTTCTATTTTTGTTCACGGAAATGCTACTGCCTGTGCTCAGGGCTGAAAGTTACGTTTGTGTATTTTGAAAAACACTAATGCAAAGCAGCAGTGAAACTCGCAATTTCTCTTCAGGTGCCAGGAGATAATACAACTTACACTTTCAATTTTCTAAATAAATAAAATTGAAGCTTAGAACGATAGAGTTTGGGACAAAGAAATTATTTTTGTTCTGAGGATAACAATAAGGCCTATAATGAACGTAGGTATGAAACCTAGGGCTAAACCCTTCTGCTCAAAGTATTTTATTAGGAGTTTGAAGAAAAAGGGTAGGGCAGAAGCAGGCATGAAAAGGAAACTCGGACGTGGCAAGGACCATTCTCAGGGCTCAAGCTCTAACCAGCATTACATGACATTATCAGGGCTATGAATTTTTATCTGGAAAGAAATATTTTTCCCCCCTAAGAGAACTAATTAAAAATGCAGACTAAGCAGTTATCCCAGGGCCACTGTTAATAAAAGGAGAGAGCTCAAATGCAGTTTACTCTCTAGTATAACCAGATGAACCCACAGCTGCCTTGTTCTGTAAAGCACACAACCAAAACCACCCCCTTATCAAATGCTGCGGATACTAATTGGAGCGAAGAAGAAATAAAAGCAGATGACAAGCCCACTGCCTGGGTTCAGCTCCGTGCCTCGGTTAAGCTACTGCTGTGACGGCAAGCGGGGGCATCTCCCACAGCCCAGGGAGCCACCTGAGAGTGGCTGACGTCCGGAGAAAGCCACAGACAGCTTACACGCCTCGACAGCAGTTGTAGGCTCTTTTCTGTACGTAGCAGTGAACGAGAGCAGCAAAGCCTACCTCCCTAAGCACTTGCAAAACAAATATACACGTCAGAAAGCAACACAAATTTGCAGAAAGAGGAAAATATTTTTCCTATTTACCCAGACTGCCTCACAGCCCAGGCAGCAGCTCCCGGAGCAAAGCGCATGCCGCAGAAACGGGGTTTTCATGGCCCCACACAACAGTTCCTGGCTTCTCCCAATCTGCTGAGTCAAGTGACACAACATATTTGGGAGGGAAAGCCAGATACAAAGGAGGGACAGCTTTTCAGCATTTTCTTCTACTTTGGTCTTTTCCCGGTTGGCCGGTGCAACCGAGCGCCTGTGTCCAGGGTCACTTGGGTTCCCACTAACAGAAACGTTCATCCTCCACCTGAAGCAGGGTACACCATCTGCCAGCACCACCTCCTGCAAGAACCACCCCACGGACACCCAGCTTGAGCAGAGCACCTTCAAAAAATTACTTCCCAGCCTGGCCAAGCCTTTACCCAGAGGAGGAGCGCCCCTTCTCCATCCCGACTGCTTGCCCAGCAGGTTTTTTATTATTTCAAGCTCAAGGGGAGCGTTGCATTAGCCTAAACCTAAAGCTCCCATTACTGTATTTACTTTGTTAGTATTTACTATGAAGCTCCACAGGAGAAGGAAAGGGGACCTACGTAAGAAATAGACCTTAAAAGTATTTATTCACATGTATGAAACGCCCTGATGATGGGAAAACTGGAATGATATGAAACACCACCTAGTTTACATCCTCTCTTACCTTGTTCTCAACATCATTTAAGCCTTCTCTTTTTTCCAACACCTTGTTAACCCTTAGCACGGATGAAGAGCCGTTCCATTTGGATCTCTATGCTGAGACTAATTACTGTGGTATCAGAGCAGGAGACCCTGGGCCATATCCCATTCATAAAAACTACTGCTTGTTTCAGTACAAGACCTTAATTTCCATCAGAATAAAACCTACCTTTCTGAGCATTTAAATTAGCAAGTACTGACCTGCTTTGACTAAAATAGCGAACTAAGCCCGTTTTGATCATCCTGCGTTTCAACAGCTTTAAGGATGAAAAAGCTGGCTGCGTACTGAGCAGTTTCATTGTACAAGATTTATATGTTTGACAGATAGAGCCACCCAGAGAGGCAGGACAAGCTTTTGAGAAATTCATCTTCTGATGATAAAAGTTTAATGAATCTAGAGAAAAAGGCCCCTGATCTGACAGTGCTGCCTTGCACTGCCTTTGGTCTGCGCTGGGCAGGGGAAGGCCAGAGCACCGACACAGCAACTTCACACAAATTAATTCAAGGCCTTTAATCCTTCCCAGAATATCCCAAGTTTACGACAAGGCTCCACTGAGCAAGAGTAATTTCTCCCCAGAAGTTTGAGGATTATCAAAGTATTTCTGACCAATGCAGTAACTGTTCTACAGGCATTTCATTCAACAAATCAGAAAAAAAGAAAGGTATCTTGGGAGACGATTCTCCCCCAAATGCTTGACCGGTAATACAAAGTATTAACTTGGTATTAGACACTACTCTGAAATACCCATGTTCTCTGGGAGCTGAAGTTCAGCACCTCCTTGCTAAGCAAATGTGCAAAGCAGAATATTCAGAATTCACCATTCCTCTAAACACTGAGCAAAATATACATCAGACTAGGATGATTAAAAACCTATTTTTGTAAATCTGTCACGAGAAGGCAGTCGGCGCTCCTATTCCCAGCACTGGCTGCTTTTCCAGAAATTCCTGCCCGTTTGCACCGGGGGCTGCACAGGCGTCGCAGCCTCTCCCAGCCCGGCGCTAGCCAAGGCAGTCACCGCTGCCACCAGGGCAGGGAGGCAGCCTGGGTGTCTTTTGGCAAGGCCACTCTGATTCCCCTCTCCTCATTCTCTGTACCGCGTAGGAAAGTAGAATAGCAATTGGTTGGACAAAGGGTTTTTATTCCTTCAGATTTTAACCTGAAGCCACCAAACAGTTTTCCTCTCCTTGACCAGCTACGTGATGGAGACGGGAGGAGCACGCTTCACAAAAACCTGGGTGCGGGCGGAGTTTCAGAGGCCAGACCGATCCACTGCCCTCACACTGCCATTACTGTTTTACCACTTCCAAAATGCTGCAGTGCAACAAACTAAGTTCTTGTTCCACAGGAAATTTGAGCATTAAGATTTTAATTTCATTAGAATGAAAGCGTTAAAATTACAACTGATTACCAATAATTACTATTAGATAAACTTCTAAGCTTGCTTTTAAACATGTCTATAATTAACTGGATTTGAAAATCCTAAATGTTTCATTTTGTTTCATGACAAACGTTAACTTAAACAGTACATACAACTGAAGTATAAAAATCATACACCATATCTGAAACAAAGCAAGGTTCTTCAGTGGAGGAGGTTTGGGGTTCTTACAGAAAAGAGACTTTATTTCAGGAGAATTTCTCCTAGTAAAAATCTGAAAAACACTTCAGAATTTTCTATTAAGAGGTTATTAACAAGGCATTTTAATGAAAGTACAGTATACTTTACTCAACTCTAATTTTAAATGGCTCAATATATTGAGCTGCTGAAAAGAAACACCCCTGGGCTGTAACGCAAAAGTCTTACATTGCTAAAACAAAGCAACTCAATTCACTATTTTCCATGACGACATTCAAAAAACACCCCTGTGCCTGGAACCTTAACTTTCAAGTCCTCGCCATCCCGAGAGCATTTAAATGGACTTGAAGTTGTAATAGCAGCGACGGTGAGTCATTTTGCCGTGACTGCGTCTCCACCACAGACCACTTGCAGTCAGAGCAGCCAGAACCAGCAAGGTCCCCCCCGCTGTCTGTCCCGCGGGGCTCAGTCAACCTGCAAGCGCCCACACAGACCAAAACCAACTTTCCACTCAACTAGCGCAATCTCACCCTCCAATTCTGAAGCCCATGCTGTCTCTCTAATACCATGTTACCAATTAAGCTTTACAAAAACCCAAACAGGCCTCGTGACCGTCTCTCCCAACCCTCTCTGCCAACATGGCCAACAGCCAGAGGATGATAAATGGGACGTTTTGATGCTGTTCTTCCAGGCTGTGCATCTAGACTGAGCCCGATTTAAAAAAAAAACACTCTTCTGCTTTCTTGGCAGACAAGATTCCCATCTAGACCAGAAGCAGCATCTTGTTTCTTGATTGATTATTTTGTTCCATCCCTATTTAATGTTCTCTAACTACAGTGTGAGAGATCATTTAAAATCTGGCACTTGTCAGCAGATACTCCAGAGAACATTTTCTCGATAGAGAGATACGGCTTCACATAAACCAGCCAAACCTAAAGACATTCAGTTATAGCCTACAGGGAGAGGAAAATCTACTCCTCGGGCACCGTGCCTTTGCTCTGCGGCTCTGTACCCAAGGCACAGAGGAAACGCACAGCGGCACATCCCACCGCACCCGGCTTGGCGTGCCCAGAGCAGCCTCCCAAACACAGCACCTCCAAAGGTGGGGACTGTGGAAGCAGGAGGGCTCCAGCCCTTTGCACATCCATCAATAACCCCTCCACCTGCAGGAGCAGCTTCGGCACAAGTCAGCAGCTCTCTCTGAAGTAATGCTGAACTCTGCTCCAGAAGACCCACCCCAGTGCACGGAAAGGGATGTGGAGGAGAAAAGTTGAAAGTCCAGTTTTCTTCTTCCATTTGTAGTGCGTTCCTTAAAAACTGGGAGAAAGGCAATTAATTGAAATCTAAATTGCTTTTGAAAAAAAAATTACTTTTGGCTGGGAAAAAAGTCTGCAGAAAAATGGTTTCAATTCAGAAACTCTCTTTCATCTCAAAATGTTTACATGCACAGGAGAAAAAATTAAGTAATCTAAAACTCTGATGAACCTAACCTAAAAACATGGCCTGTTAGTTATACTTCTAGCCTCTCAGAATTGGAAAAGATTGAAAAATTTTAAAACTTCTAAATTTCAAACTTTGCAGATTTTTAAATTTTAAAAGACTTTTCTAATCAAATAGACTATTTACTAGATTTTCTGATAACACATTTTCTCATTAACGGAGAGAGTTGTTGAAAGGAGTTCAACAATTACTTAAGTAGTTAATGGCAATATCAACAAGGA